TTTTTTCATGATTTTGGACGACATATTGTACTATGACGTTTTTTCATGATTTTGGACGACATACTATACTATGATTTTTTTCAATATTTTGGACGACATACTATACTATGACTTTTTTTTAATATTTACTATACATGCTATACTATGACGTTTTTTCATGATTTTGGACGACATCCTATGCTATGAGTTTTTTCATGATTGTGGACGACATACTATACCATGACTTTTTTTCAATATCTTGGATGACATACTATACTATGACGTTTTTTTAATATTTTAGACGACATACTATATTATGACGTTTTTTCATGATTTTGAACAACATGCTATACTATGACACTTTTTCATGATTTTGGACGACATACTATACTATGACTTTTTTTCATGATTTTGGACGACATGTTGGACGTTATGCTATACTATGAAATTCTTTCAAGATTTCACACAACATACTATACTTTGAAGTTTTTTCATGATTTTGGACAACATACTATGCTATAGTTTTTCAAGATTTTGGACGACATACTATATGATAAGATGTTTTCTCATGATTTTGGACGACATACTATACTATGACGTTTTTTCATGATATTGCACGACATACTCTGCTATGACGTGTTTCCAGGATGTTTGATGACATACTATGACGTTTTTTCAATATTTTGGACGACATGTTATACTATGACATTTTCTCAATACTTTCCAATGGCCTTTGGTTGTCTGTAGTGGTTTTAATATCTTAGTATTTTACAATCTTTTCACATTTGTAATTGTTTTCACTGGTTTTTATTCTGTTCAATATTTGTGTACATTTTATTTTGCTATATATTTGTGTGTCATTCTTTAATTCTGTACAGCACTTTGGACAACTGCGGTTGTTTTTAAATGTGATATACAAATAAACTTGATTTGATTTGATTTGAGATGTTGATGGACTCAGACGCAAACAATTCCTCCTCCTGATGTGCTCAACATTCTAAATCTGATTTGGATGGAGAAACAAATGAGTTTGTAGGAATAGACAGGATCTCCGCGACGGTGACACCGACACATGGACAAGGCGATCACAGAGGAGAGGGAGACAACAGAACACTGAAAGATCACTGAATGTGGCCAAGTGTTCTGCTTTACCTCAAAGAGAATATTATTTTCATTATTATTGTTATTATTATTGTTGTTATTGTTATTATTATTTTCATTTATGCAACTCAATCTAACGTAAGGTAATGAGAAAAACAAAAAACAAAAAAGTAAATTGATCTTATACTTGAAAATGCATTTTTCCTGAGCTTTTTGCCTGAAATGTTTTTTGTTTTTTTTTGTATGTTGTTTCTTCATGAAAATACACAAATTCAAGTGTTGACAAAAAAAAAAAAGAAAGGAATGATGTTGAATAAAAAAAAAATTGTGTTTAAAAACATAAGGTCTCTTCTTTAGTTTCTTATACTGTTTACATATTCATATAACAAATTATTTTGTGGGTCTTGAAAGATTAGTGAATATGATCAAAAATGCCGGCAGTGGCTGGCAACTTAAAAATGATACAGTCCAAGGACATGGACATGGACCAGCTTGAATAGCAACACAAAGTCGACCAGCCCAGCACTGCTTTGCTGCATCAGCAAACTTTATGTTGCTGCCATTACACAGATTAGACCAAGCACGCTGTGATCCCCGGTGCTAGCGTCTGCACCGGCTGAACTCAGCTGCTACTGAAGGTGTGTCAACAGCTACAATGATTAATGTATTTTCTGGTTTCTTTATTCCTATAAAATTCTTTGGGTTGAGAACAAAACAACACATTTGAGGACGTCATCTTGGGCTTTGAGAAACGCTGGTATTTATCAGCACTTTCTGACTTTTAATAGACCAAACATCCAATCGATTAATGTAGAAAATAAGTGAAAATGAAAATAATTGTAAGCTGTGGCCCTGCTTAAGAGACTCCCCATGTATCTGAAAACCAACCTGGTGCCGTTCCGGATACATGAACAGTCCAGTTTGGTGTAAATATGTGAGTAAATTCACACATTAAAATGGGATTGTTATGAAAAACAAAAGCAGGGACCTAATGCCACTGCTGACAGAGAAATCAAGTAGTTACTGCAGGTGTAATTTTGGTAATGGAAACTGCCATGGTTGCGACACAGACTTGTAACGTCTTTGTCACCGCACACACATACACACACTGATATGAAACAAGTGAAGTGTGACGGAGAGAGGAGATCTAAACTGAGGTTAAAAAAAATAAAAAAATAAATAAAAAAAAAAAAGGTGTGAGAGAGACCGAGACGGTTGTTGTGAGTTAATGGCTTTGTTTCCAGACGGGATGGTTTGTGGTTTCAGGCCTGCTGACAGGAGTAATGGTGGGAGGGATGAGACACACAGCTCAGGATCCATGTGGCTTGCCAAACCACACACACACACACACACACACACACACACACACACACAGTGACTTCTCTGTTGCCTCACTTGAATCACAGAACCGGCAGAGACACATTCAGTCGCACTCACATTTCACACACTCCCACACACACCTCAGAAAATGACAAACTACTTTGGGAATTTGAGGCTTTGTGTTGATATCAGTGATGATTGTGAAACCGGATTTGAGGATAAAATTAAAAACATGCCAAAAACAACCAACATTTGATTAAGAAAGTAAGGTTGTTTTTTTGTCATATATTTTGTCAGAGGCAGGCTTCCATAGATTACTCATGATATGTACTATTAATGTGAATCTTGTTTTCCTGACTCACCGCCCTGAACGGTTGCCATGTCGTTCCAGTTTTCCTCTCCCACGTCCTTTCCCACTCTCTTGTTCTGCTCCCACCACAGGTGGTGACTGCATTCATTTTCACTCTTGTGGGGGTGCTGGCTGTAAGGCTGTGATTTCTGACTGTGTATGTGAGAGAGACAGAAAAAGGGGGGGCAGGGTGGTTAGGGATGTGCAATATGAGGCGGTTTCTTTGCCACGTCCTGACTTATGTCAGCATTGACTTTTTAATATTTAACCAAGACAAAGAGCATTCGTCAACATTAACCAAGTGCTCTGAACAACCCTATAAAAAACTTTTAGCTGCTACAAAGATCTGTTCATTAAAAATGTTTCCTTAAAATGTAATCAAGTAAACAAACTTTGGGAGTGTCTTTTAAGAGACAGAGTTTTATCCAGTCTAACAGGAGCTACAGGCTGTGTGACGAGGAAGAACAACATTAAGTACAAAGACAGGATTAAAGACATGATTTCCTGAAGTATCACAAATCTTTTTTTAAGATTATTTTTTGGGGTGTTTTGCCTTCAATGACAGGACAGTCTGAAGCATGAAAGGGGGTGCAGCAAGGACATTACCTTAGTACATGGGGCGCCCGCTCTACCCACTGAGATACTGAGCACCCCAGTATTGCAGTTTTTTTAAAAGTTTTTTTAAGGTCTGAATTGCTAAAATTCAAATGCAGAAGTGGAAACAAGCTGCTGCTTTCACTGTGGTAGTCTCCAAGTAAGGTGACAAACAGAGACAAGAAACTGACAAGAAGAACAAAGCTGAAGTGAGAAAGCAGAAAATGGTTGACAGTCAGTTGAATAGCAACTCAAAACTCAAAGCTAAGCCCAGCATGAACTCCCTGCTGGATCAGCAAACTTTCTGTTGCTGCCATTACACAGATTAGACCAAGCTTGCTGTGAACCCCACTGATGGCATCTACACCAGCTAAACTCAGCCACTATTAAAGGTCTGTCACCAGAGGTTCCACCTGCCCTCTTCCCGATAAATAGTCTCCTAACAGTGAAGAGTGAGGCGGAGGGTCTGCAGAGTGCACGAGCTAGCTAATTCTAGTCGTATTTGTGTTCTGACAAACAGGCAATCTGGGATTCATGTAGGACATTTAGACGGGATAAGCAAAGTCTGCATTTAATTTACTGACATTATCCCCCAGATGTGATGCGCACAGCCATTTGTAACTCCACTCTACTCAACACAGAAACACAGCAACGTAGCACCACTAGCTGTGATGTGGTGATAACCACCTTTTTTAAAAATGTGGGTTAAACAACCAATCCTGCTACACATTGTCTACATCATTGTCTTTAGAAATTTTGCTATTCTACTAAATGTGAGCTTTCTGTAAATGAAAAATTAGAAATCATTTGTATATGTAGAAAAAAATGTCTGAATTAAATCTTCATACAACTTGTCACCTTGATTATAATTTCTGATATATGAATTAGCCAAACCGGATTCATTTAGAGATAAAAAACATAGAAAATATATTCGCAAAAAGTAATGACTAGAATGTCATACATTTTCATTAACTCAAATGTTTTGAGTTTTCTTTATGGATAATGAAGGATAAAAAAGTCTAAAATATGATTAAAACTAATAAGCATTTTTGTGTCAAGACTTTGACTAAGACTAAAACCAAAATTACCTGTCAAAATGTTTTCAAACCTTTAATTCATACAGGCAGCCTCCACAATTCTGTACACAAAAAGAGGCAGAAAAGAGGTGCAGAGAAAGAAAGAAAACCTAAATACAACCCAAAATCATGGAGATGCTGATTCGCACGGTACTAATATGATCACACGGCCTCTGTGTTTAGCAAAATATGGTAGATTTTTTGTGGTGGTATTTTGACGTTGCATATTGAGGACTTGGCATATTAATTAATTACTAATGAACTGTATCATCATTTCAGTCACTAACAAATTACTGGCCTGCACAAGATTTTAAACAAAAATCTCAGAACTTTGACGTTTCTCTACAGACTCACCTCTCTACTTTGCATAAAGTGAAACTTTACTGATAACAGGCGTAAATGCAAAGGCTCGTGACAAATTATTCAGATTACATCACAACTATCACCAACATGCCCGTATGTACAGCACATCACACATGTTACTGGACACTGTTAATGTTTTCGTGGCCGTGACGAGATCCATCACTAAAGTGGTTTCGATGTATGAGATCACAGTCCTTGTTTTGTTTAAAACTTTATTCTAAAGCACAACTGAAGAACATTTGAGGCTTTGACAGTCGGATTTAGTCGAATCAAGTGTGTATCCTCCAGAGATCTGCTCATTTTGTTTCTGTCTCCTCAGACGATGTCTCCTCTCTGAGCTGCAGGGAAAGACACTGTAACAGAAAAGGTTGAAAACTTTGGAAGATATTCCCTTAATTTGACTTATGGCAACTGCTGCAGCCTCAATTTACTCTCAGTGACACTTTGGGATGCAGAAAGACGACTGTGTGAATTTGACCAGTAGGTAAATTAAAATAACACTGAATAGACAGATTGACCTTTATTGTATAACCAAAAGGATCTCTACATCTCAAGTATGAACAGGACGTCTCAGACACACTTCAAAACTGAGACACACTTCAAAACCATGAACCTCGACCTCCAAAGTTGTTTTACCTTGACATGAAACAAGATGATTCACTAAAAGTCAAGATATACCTCTGTTTTTTATGTTTTTATATTTGCCTAAATTTTGACGCAATGCCAAAAAATATAAACGCAGCAAGTCTCATTTTCCATTCAAGAGCAATTTCACCCAATTCATGAGGAACATTTTTCCCTTGACGTCTGCTAAAAGCCGACTGTGCCGCAGTAAAAAGCTTCGAACCACTTTGAAAGGCTCGGCCTGTAAAATCCTGATGCAAGATGTTTTTTGTTCTCTTGACAGTCGAGAGCTTTTTGCCGTGAAGGAGAAGTGATGCAGGGCGCTCTGCCTCTCTCCTCTCCATTTCTCCCCTTGGTCCATTTCAGCTGAGAGGCAAAGGTTTTACTCTCCTTTTACCTGACAGCCTTCTGATTTCATCTCTCTTTTTATAGCACCGTGAGAAGAAATGGAGGGCAAAATGATGAGCCTTTTCTCTCTCCCTTCTCTCACCGAGACAGGCCTTTTATGTTTTCATCTTCCACTTCCACCGGCTCCTTTCCTCCATCCCATTTTCAGCAGTTACACCCCTCCGCATCTGTCTTCTCTGTGTATCCACATCGATTGGGCTGAACCAAGTAGCCTGAAGAAAAACAGAGAGGAGTGGATGAGGGTGCAGTATTTCTTTTTTTTCCTTTTTTTTTTTTTTTAAAGAAAAAAAAGGAGATAAAAATGAGAAGCCCTTTTTCTTTCTCTTTCACTCGCTGGATAACCAAGTGCTTGCGGAGAGCAGTGTGAGATTAAAGGCAGCTTGTGTAGAGGCAGAGAGCGCGGGTGCTTCAGCTCCCAGAGGTCATTTTGGTCCCTTTGATAACGTTCAGGCCTCGCTCCATCTTCTGACCTGTCCTTAAGATGAGAAGCTTTCATCAGTCTCTGCCGGACACAAGAGCCCACTCAGGATCAGGGGCTCAAATTAGAGAGCGGCTTTGTGTGGGTGGGTGTGTGTGTGTGAGGGAGAGAGAGACAGAGTTTTCATAGTTATGTATAATTCAATGCTTTTACTGTTATAAAAGCCTCCCCTTGGTCTTTGATCACACAGACTGGTGAGAACAATGCCTAAAATTATTTGTCTGGGAGGAACTGGAGGGGAATTTGAAAGGATTTATGTAAAAATCAAAACAAAACAAAACAGAGGAGGAGGCTTCCTGCAGCAAACACACAGCACCTTGACTGTATACTGAATATCAAGTATGTCAGTATTGGCTGTATATCTATACAGTGAGTGGCCGGGATAACAGAAGCCTCACAGTCTAATGCAACCGAATGGATCTGTGGTAAATACTTTGCAATGCTTCAAAGTCTTCATACTCAGGGTAGTGTTGATACGACTCTGTCAGGCCAAATTTAGATGAAGATATTTCACACCACACATAGTAGAATCCAGTAGAACCCCATTAGAATCTGCGATATTCACCGCATTTATAGAGCAGCAAACCAATATTTGCTATGTAAAGATATAGTGGAGTAATGGCGTCCTGAGCAGAGAATGACGTCACGCCATGGAGGTGAGGCCCTTGTTCATTTCTATGAAAGCTGCTCAGTGGCACATGAAGCCAAAAATGTTCAGCTGCCACCTATAAAACTACCGAGTTAATCAGCGGTGCTTAGAGCAGGCATACTAAAGACTTTTGCCGATCAAGCCGGCTGCTCCCAGTTTAGCGCTCTGCTACCTTGAATGGAAATAAATTGACGTAAGCATGCAGGTCGTCTTGACTTTCCAAATGTTATTGGACTAAATGGCTCAAATCTTGATAGTGAAATGAGTCAGGTTGTGATGCTCAAAAAATGTATCCACTGATTTACAGATGTCTCTTCCAAATGTAAGTCTATACAAAAAAAGTCTCTTTGGGCCAAATAACATCACGTGACTGGAACCGAAATTGTAATTCCACTGTTCAGCCACCACAAAAATTGGCTTCAAAGCCTGACACTCTTCCTTTGTGCCTGACTAAGCTTTCTCTGTGTGTGCTGTAATCTGAGCTTCTCTCTTTTTTGTTGTGGTAGCCATGCCCGCCGCACGTGTGTGTGAGTGCATGTGAGTCCCTGTGTTTGTATCCCATTGGCTAGCAAAGTCACTGCTCTGCACTGTGCTCTTTACCAAAGTCAAATGTGACTTCACGAGATCATCGCCATTTTTGTCTGTACACTGCAAAATTTTGTGAGCTTCGGTTTTTCATCTTGTCTGGTTAATTCACAACCTTGGGTAACATTTTGATTGGAGCACACTGAGGCCAACACGATTCTGAAGCCTTTTCTAGTGATCTAAGGCAAGACACGAGAGCAAACTCGCCATAATCATCCTCTAATCAGCTCTGAATAGCTGAACGATGCCAGCCCCAAAAATATACTCCATTAAACAGTGAAGTCGACCTTTGACCTTTTGGATATAAAATGTCATCATTCTATCCTATTCGACATTTGCGTGAAATTTTGTCATAATTAGTGTATCAATTACCGAGTTTTGGTCAAAAACATTTTTTGTGCCATCACAGTGACCTTTGACCACCTAATTTTAGGTTCATTGTAGAGTCCAAGGGGATGTTTGTGGCAAATTTCAAGAAGTTCCCTCACAGTTTTCTTGAGATATCATGCTCACAAGAGTGAAATGGACCTAAAGGTTACAGTGACCTTTGATCTTTGACCACCAAAATCTAATCAGTTCATCCTTAAGTGAACACAACAATTTAGTAACAAAATAAACAACCTCAAGGCACGCTTGAGATATCATGTTCGCAAGGTTGGGACATACTTATGTATGGACTACCTGAAAACAATGCCTCTGACCATGGCTCGCTGGGGCAATATCAAAGGCATACAAATCAATAGGTGGCGGCAAATGTTGTTTATCATGGCACCGCCCACAATAAATGAATGTGTGGGTAACTCTGATCTGTACAATCTCCTTTTTGTAATAGTTCCTCCAAAATGTCAAACTCTTCCTTTAACACTCAGGAGGACAGGAGCTCAAAAATTGATGCACAAAGCACAAAACAAACCTTTAGACTTTAGGCTAAAGATCAATCGACTGCTCTGTCACCCACACGTACTGAGGAGGTGGAGTAAACAAAGAGGAGGAACAGGTTTTATTTTTTGGTTTGTTTGTTTGCCTTTTGCAACAGAAAGACATAAACATGTTGGAGATTTAAATCAGCCCTCACACACTGTACAGGACAAGATTTGGGAACTTTATATTAAGGTCGATGGGTTAATTTTTGACATGGGAATAAAAGGAATAACCTGTATCAGCCTAAAACTGGTGTCTCAACACACAGGATGTTGAATAATGAGGTCTGGTGCACACAGCTAATGTTAAAATGCATTTTGTGACATACAGGAAGTGATAAACAGTGACAGACAGCAGAGCAGCGGCTCACAGACACAATGTAACAACAGAAAAATCACGTCATTTCATGGGACCAGTAAAAAGGGAAGCTGTGAAACGCTCCTCACAGCAATCGCTTTAACTGCCAAGGTGAACACGGGGGTTAACAAGCTCAGCAAAGCAAATAATTGGTACAAATAAGTCATTAGCACAGTGGAAAGGCTCAGACAAAATGTGAAGGAGCACTAATTGAACACGATTATAAACTTCCTTCCTTCCTCCTCCATCAGTTGGAGCAGTAACGAGGAGGTCCTTGGAGATAATTAGGACCAAAAGCAGATCAAAAGTGGCTCTTAAAACAAACTCAGATGTTCAGCTCAGTCAAATACGAAGAGTTTACCAAAAATACTGCTGATTTCATGTAATCATGTGAAGCTCTCTATGTACATCATCCTCATTCAACTGAGACTCCACAAAGCAATATCAATTATATTAGCACATGTGAATATTCTGATATATGCATAATATGATATTTTGTTGGTTTAGACTGAGTGGTTCAGTCTCACGTCTGCCATCAAGCGCACCATTTAAACCACAGCAGCTAAAAACCCATATTTTTCACAGGAGTTGGTGGAGAACTAAACAGACTTTACATTTATCATATGGCATGAAACGCAACTTCAGTAAGATGTTTTGTGTCTGTTTAACAGGATAATTGTTTTATGACACAAATTTTTGTTCAGAACACTTAAAAAATATCTGAATTTCTCATCATAAATACAATATATTATTAAAATAATCAAAATAGATTACACCTTCAGAAGCTGATCTGTATTAGGATTGCAAATAAAGATGATTTTCATTTCTGATTATTTTCTCTACTAATTGTTTGGGGTATAAAAAGTAAGAACATAGTAAAAAAGAAAACTAGAAATACTGTCCGGTGGTTGTATGCCTCCGTGCGCCAGTCAGTTTTTCTTGCAGTTTACATCCATGTCAGTAAAACATGGCTGCTTCACACACATCTTTCCCCGACAGCAGCACAGAGGATCTATACAACCAGCGCAGTTTCAAGATTAATTCAGTATCTGGCCAAATGTCTCCCCTTCTCTTCCTCAGATATGACTGTGAGTAAAGTGAGAATAGCAACACTTTCTACCATAAAAAAAATCCCCAATAAAAGCTTCCAAACGCAACCAGACATGTTCCAGCAGGAATAACATTCACATGTTTCCCTGAAGTTAGCATTTAGCTACCTGTAGCAGCGTAGGCTACGTAATTACTTACAGTACTGCGCCTGGAGCAGAACACCATATGAAGAAATCCTGCACTATCAAGTCATGTTGCAGTAGAAAAAAATGCTGGTTAAATGATGGTTTTTGCTCACAGGGATTAATTCTATGTACATTTACCTCATTATTTCAAACATGTTTAATATGAACATCCTTCATTGTAACACTATTTATAGGACAGAAAATACAAAAAAGCACAATAGGTCCCCTTTAAAACAAAAAGTCGATTATTAAAATAGTTGCCGATTCGACTACCCAACTAACAACTTCAATTCCAGTTTAGACAATAAACAGTTGAGCTGTATACTATCAGCAACATATACACATGTTGTTCATTCCTTAAGGCTGAAAAACTCCATTTAACTGTTGATCTGAGCATTTTCATGCCAAAAATAACAATTCAGTCCATTTAGAAAGGTGAAAAATCTTTAAAAACACCATGAGACTCACTGGACACTAAAGATGAGACTGTTTCTGCTACATTTCTAATAATTGTATTTAATTAAGAAGATCAAATTTTATGTCAGCAATCAACTGTATTATTCTAACTGTACATAAAGATAAGTATGCAGTGTGTACACATGGTTTTGGTGAGTCTTTATATTAAAGTATTGAAGCAGGTATACACAAGTGTAACCACTGCAGGTTCAAACAGCCGTTGCAGTAATGCCATGCATCAATCATGTGGAAGAGAAGGTGTTGGTCAGAGTTTGGGGTTTGTCTCAATGACATCAGAAGGTGTGTGCTGATGTGTTTACAAGCTGAAGGGTGTATCTGCTTTAGTGAACATGTGTGTATGTGTTAACATCTCAGTGAGTTACACACAAACACATTAAGTGTTACTTGTACGACCTGGCCGTTGGTAAATGTCATTCCTTGTAGTCCTTTTGTATCCTGCAGTTCAACTGTAACCTGATCCAGGATCTGTGACAGAACAAACATCCCCTGAAGTCAAGTTGACAGACTCAT